GTATGTATTGTTGCCCCGTTTTCGACTCGACGAAAAGCTTCTCGTTTGAACAGCGATCCACGAGAAAGTTAAACAATGTTTATTATGCATTTATTGTGGTTTAACTGTTTGTATGTATATGCGTGTACACGCGAGTGTATCTCTGTGCGTATGTGTTTTACCGACGAAGATGTCGCGCGCACATACACGTAACACACACACACACACAATCCCAATTATTTAATATTATCCCTTGTTTCAACGTTTAGTTTCCTTAAATTGTAACGTGTGTATCGGAAGCTTTGTAACAACTGAAGGCTAAACACTGAGTAGTATTTTGGTTTTTGTTTATATTTATTTATTTATTTATTTATATTTATTTTATTATTTTTATTTTATATTCTTTTTGTTGTTTCTTTTTTTTGTTTTGTTTTGTTTTTTGTTTTTTAATTTCATATCATTCATTTACAATTAAATCTCGCGCGGGTGCGAGATCGTACGCGAACGCGAATTCGAACTTGAACGAGACGAGAGAAGATTTTCTCGAGGTTTAAACTCGATCACGTTCGATAGCAAAATAATATCATCTTGCGTCGCCGAACGAAGGTGATGAAGGAGAATGAGAAGAGGAGAGGTGAGCGGGGAAGGAGAAGAACAGGAAGATATCACCAACGAGCTATATTTTTATATATTATGTATGCATATATGTATATGATATGGATATGTGTGTATGTATATATACACGTACGACGAGGACGCATCATTTTTGTTTTCATTCTTTTAATGGACCATCGAAAGCACAAAAGGTTCTTTGAAATTCGCTCTCACGCTAACGTATCGCAATACAAAACCCTTTTTCTCTTGGTTCATTGCGCGTATTCTCACCTCTCTCTCTCTCTTTCTCTCATCATATACACACACCGTTTACGTAGGTATATATATGTTCGTATGTACGTACGTACATATGTATGTATGTATGTATGTATGTACAATGTTTATACAAATGTCTCGTGGAGATTTTTTTTAGTCGGTGATTTGAACATTTCACGTTATCTCGACTAGGAATGTCGACGATTTCACGGCCTCGGGGCCATCGTCCGAGAGGGAAAAGGAAAAACGAAAAAAAAAAAACGAAATTAAAAGTAAAAAAATAAAATAAAAAAAGATACGTTGTGGTGTCTACCTATCCTACGTATACAACAGATGATATACGTAGCTGCGTATCCGTGATATATGTATGTGTGTATTTTTTTTCTTTTTTTTTCTTTTTTTTTTAATATTCGTATCTTTCGCGTTACGTCACAAAGGAAAAAATCGTGGGAACCGGAACGCGTGACTAAATATTCGTGATCACGGCGATATATCGAATGATGACCAACGATATTCTCTAAAATGGACATTCGATTCGTGTCTCGTCGGAATGTTTTTGGAAGGAAAATTTATTAGAAGATGAATAAGAGAGAGAAAAAAAAAAGAAAATAAAATAAATGACAAAAGAGAAAGGACACGATTAATTTCGATTTTTCGTTCGGGGTTGAAAAATGACGACGCGGAACTTGGAGGGGGATTTGGAACAACAAGAAAAACGATTCTTCGTCGTTTTAATTTCTTTTTGTCTCTTTTTTCTTTTTCTTCACGTTTTTTTTCCTAGGGGATTTTTCTTCTTCTTCTTCTTTTTTTTTCTTTTTATTTTCGTCAAGAGGCACTACCGTGATCTATAAAATCTTGCCTCGAGTTGACGTAACCACTCGTGTACTCGTTCGCGTGTTAAAACATTCGTTAGAATAAACTTCAATTTTGGAGAATGAATTAACAACAAATATTTGTTAATATTAATTTTATTTAAAATCGATCCTTCTTTTCTTTTTTTTTTTTTTTCTTCTTAAAGAGACGAGACTATAATAGAGAAGAAAAGAAAAGAATCGCATCGATCGTACGACACGTGTGTCGAAACAAACATCATTTTAATTGTTAACAAATAGAATCGAAGAAAAAGAAAACAAACTAGTAGGAGAATGCATTTATTTAATTAACAACGACGATGACGTATCAATGAATGATTATTTCATGAAAGAAAGGAAGAAACGTGTGTAAAATTGTGAAGAATACTGAAAACAACAGCCCATCCTTCGTAGATCGTGACAGTGTAACGAGATTTCGAAAACGAGTAGTTGAACCTGAAGATAGAAATCGAAAGAAAGAAAGAATAAGCAACACAAAAACGTGGGAAAAAAGAAAGAGCGAAAGAGACAGAGAGAGAGAGAGAGAGAGAGAGAGATAAAAGAAAAAGAAAAAGAGAGAAAGAAAAAAGGAAGGAAAATGAAAAAGTAGGGAAGCGCAAGAGATAAAAGTAGGTGTTGAAAATAGAAAAGTTGGATGCGAGTAAGTCTGGATGGTTACTTGCCTTTGCTCTCGCTCGAATGAGCTTTCTCAAGGACAAAGCGTTAGCGAGGATTTTTCTTTCCTTTTCTTTTCTTTTCTTCAAAACCTAGCAAACCTCTATCACCCTTTTGCTCCCCTTAACACCCTTCAACGTCCCTCGATTCTCTTTAATGTCCCTTCTCGCGCGTTTTGCTCTTTTGCTTTTCGATTCTTCGTCTTCCCCTCACCCTCCCACCCCTTTTCTCACCTCTTTCTCACATCTTCGTAGTTCACTCGCGATTCTTTTCCCCCCTGTAACCCCTTCCCCCCTTCTCCACACCAATACCACCCCCATCTACGCCACGTCGCTTTACTTTTATCTTCTAGCGTGTCGGATGAGAAGCTCTTAGTATCTATCGCGAGTAAAAAGGTTCGAATGACGATTCGATTTTTCACCTGACTCTCTTTTTATTTTTTTTATTTTTTCCGAGGCCCCTTTTTCTCGAGAGAAAACGTAGGAAGACGTAGGAAGGTGGTTTACCACGAGCATAAGACTTCTCTATTTTCCCTTGTAACCATCCCTGCCACCCTCCGTGGCAAGAAACTATATGCATGAAACGATACCTATTTTATCAGTGGTTCGGTTCTTCGAGAAACCAGCCTAAAGAGATGTTGCTTTTAGACGGAAAGGAGGAACCAGCAAAGTGGTTTCTTGATGCGTCTAGTCTAACGATGATGCGATGTCTCTCTTCTCTTCTCCTCTCTTCTCCTCTCTTCTCTTCTCTTCTCTTCTCTTTAGTAAGGATGATAGGCCAGAGAGTATGGGTAAAGGAAGCGTACTATAATGGAAGGACGACCGCATATTACGGTCTACGTTTCTGATATGTCGCGTGCTATATCACGCGCCACGTCTGTGTGTATATATCTTCTGTATAGATGTAAGCGTGTCTATGTATGTATGTATGTCTATGTGTAAGGTTTATTATAGAGTGTCGTCATTATATTACATAGTAGCTTCTATCATGTAAGGAAGATTTGAGTTTGTTCCGAAGAAAGATCTCTGAACTTTGCGAACAGAACCGATTTATACGAACGTTCAAGGCTACTGTCAGTTTAAATAAAACGTGTTGATAACGTCGAACCTAGGTCGGACACGAGTCAACCTTTTAAATCGACTTATCTGAAATAAACTTCTCTCGCGATTTGGATCTTTTAGGTTTGGAAAAAGTATTTGACGAGAGTTAGGTGTGGTTTATCGTGTTTAAGATCGTAACGCGCGTGTTCTTAGTTTATAGGATAGATGTTCGTTGTTTAGGTCAAAGTGTCCTTTCATTCGATACGATCTCAGATTATCAAACATACTTCGAGTCAAGAACTCATTATACCGAATGTTACTATGTGTCTCTATGGTGAGTAATATATATGTGTCTTTGTGTGTGTGTGTGTGTGTGTGTGTGTGGTGTATGTGTTTAGAGACGACCACGAATCTCCCCAAAGTCGAGTTGGTCGAGCGTTTTGATGGGTTCCATTGTTCTCCAAGCAGAACAACAACAACCACCCCACCATTCATTCGTTCCTTCCTATTCGTTCGTCGTCGTGTAGAGATAAGCATGGCTGACTACTACTACTATTCGTCCAATAGTATTGAAGAGAACCTAGAGAGAAACTAGTAGTCTCGGCATAAGGCGTTTCCATGGGAAACGATCTTAAGTTTCGCCTCGGTGGACAAGTGGCATTCGGAAAGTTTTATAAATGCTACGTAACACCGAACTTCTTCTCGCTCGGACCTTTCCAAGAAGAAGAAGAAGAAGAAGAAGAAGAAGAAGGAGAAGAAGAAGAAGAAGAAGAAGTTTTTCCTTCGCATCGTCTCTCCTTCGTTCGTTCGTTTCTTCGTTCCTTCATTTACTGCGTAACGCGATTCTTGCTATATACATTTTCTCGTCTACCACTTCTTTTTTTCTTCTTTTTCTTTTTCTTCTTCTTTCCAGTCTCGGGTCGCGTAACAAAAAAGTCCGCCAACCTTCTACGCTTACTCGAACTTTATGTTTTGTGTACGCTAAAACTTCTCCTTCTTCTTGTCCTCCTCCTCCTTCTTCTTCTTCTTCACTCTTGTTTCTTTTTTTTCTTTCTTTTTATTTTTTGAAAATTCATTATTTTTTTTATTTTCTTCATTCTGTGTTGAAATTTAATTAGCAAACTCGACCTTTCCTTTTTTTCCTTTTCTATCCTCTATCCGCGATACTTGTATTTATTTTGACGAAATATTCGATAGAATTTATCGCACGGTTTGCAAGCAGTGTAAGTAGTCGTCTAGTTTGATTTCAAGAGAATATCAAATTTGTCAGATTGCGTTTCGATCGAAGCTACGCTAGACGATCTATGAAACAGCATAGAAAAACGATCTAAAAAACGACGTGTCCCAGCACCCCTCCCCCTTCCTCCCCCCTTCCCCCAATGATTCATTTTCGTTTTTCTTCTCGTTTCTTTTCGTTTTATCTTTCTTTTTTTTTTTTTTTTATTCGCGAGAAAAAACGAACCACACACGTTTGTAGAACGAACGAGACGCGGGTTTGAGTAACGAGCTAATTTTATCGCGGCAAAGGATCACGGCGCGTGAACTTTGTCCCCCTTTTTTTTCTTTTCGTACCTTTTTCTATTTCTTTTTTTTTCTTTTTTTTTTTTCTTTTTTTTCTACATACCTAGCAGCGATAACGCTCGCTCTCATAGTAATGCGTTCGTCGAAATGGAAACACTACGACAAGACGAGAACGAATAGCACTCTCTGTGATATACTCGTAGTAGAAAATAAAAGTGCCGCAGCTTTTTCCGATTCGAAGCTTTTACCCTTATTTCTCTTCTCCTCTCTTCTTCTCCACTCTCTTCTCTTATTTCTTTCTTTCTTTCTTTCTTTCTCGAGAAATCAATGTTGGATTTTCCTTTTTCAAACGTAACCTTCTCTCTATACACCATGGTTCCTTTATCCCTCTCCTCCCATCGCCCCCCTCCCCGATTTTCACTTCCACATCGTAGAAAAAAGTACGAAGATTCATGTCTCGAAGAAACATCCAAAAAACTTTTCGACAATTTTTTTTCTTAATTTTTTTTTTTTTTTTTTTTTTTTTTTTTTTTTTTGTCGATGGCAGTTATCGTGACTTTCTTTATTGCATTAGATATTTTATATTATATTGCATTTGACGATAAGATAAGAAAGAAATTGTTTTCTAAATTTTTATATCGTAAATAATATAATATGTATAATATATAACTCTTGTGACACTTTAGATTTTTATATAGAATTCAATTCTATTTCACGTTTTTTTGGATAATTCAATTTCGTTCGGGTGTTCAATTATTCGTTTACGATCAGTGCTCGATTACAATATGACGTTAAAGGATTTAAATATATATATATATCTATCCTTTTTCTTGTCTGTGTGTTTTTTTTTCTATTTATCTTCCATTCCCTTTTTCCTTCTCTCCTTCTCTTTCCCTTTTTTCTCTCTTGTGCGTTATTCAAGTTCGATGCAACCCTTTTATGCGAGTCGATATTTTTCTTTTATTTTCACTTCTCCCCCCTCTTCCCTCTTCACCGCGATATTTTTGTTTTATTTTTTTGTTTTGTCCTATCGTTCTTCGCACAATTGACTATCTATGCGCAATCTTTATATTATAACGGGTGATACCCGAGAAACACAACAATTGTAGTAGAGATACTTGGTATCCTTTTCGCGAGATGCGAGACTGTACAGTCAACTTTATTAATTAATTGATAACTACTTGCCCCAACGTTTCCTGTTACTTGCCAACCATATTTAATCATCCATCATCATCGATCATTATCGACGACGTGATTGTCTATCGTCACGAAACGTAATGCTCCGTTTTCTTCCTCTTTTCCTATTTTCTTCTTTTTATTACGTTCTTATTTTCCTCTGATCTTAATCTTTTTCACCCTCTCACCCTTTCATTCTCTCTCTCTCTCTCTCTTTCTTTCATTCTATTTTTTTCTCTCTTCTTTTTAAGGCTGGGAAAAAAAAATGCGAGATGAAAGTGAGCGAGAGAAAGGACAAAAGAAAGTCTTAGGAAATTCTTAATCCCTTTTTTATCTCTCTCTCTCTCTCTCTCATTTTTCTTTTATTCTTTTTTTCATTTTTTTTTGTTTCTTTTTTTTTTTTTTTCTAGGGTGTCTAAAGAGGCAGCAATAATCGTTGTAGCGTGAAAAGGGTCAACAGTAGACACGCGGATGGCCTCAGGAGACTAGCTTGGCCTTGAACTGAAACAGAGTAAATCAGAAAAAAAAGTCGGTACTTAGTTTTAATTTCTTAATTATTATTATTACTTTAATGAGTCTCTTTTAAATGACATAATTTTGTTAGAGATTAAGAAAAAAATATAAGCTGATCCTGCTTGCTTACGCATACACGTTAATGTATTATTCGCATGGAAACAAGAAGAAAAGAAAAAAGAAAAAATGTATGCTACGAAAGCGCATGCATGCACGATATTTTCCTGGGAATAAAAGTGAATTTTTGAAAAGTTTCGAACAAATATTTCACGCGAATATCCACGCGAGTGGTATACAATTTACGATCTCATTTCGTTTTTCCATGGGATTTTTTTTAAAGAACGCATTCGAAAGGTAAAAGAGAAAAAAAAAAAAGGATTTATTCCAATTACCTGCGTACTTTGAAAAATATCTTGATAAAAGCGTTTCGAAGGGTACAAATTTTTCTATACAGTGATTTTATATTTCCCATCGAAGAAAATATCCTTCCATCTTCGGTTATACGTTTGAAAAGCGACAAGACGTCGAAGACGTCACGAATATTATGTTTATCGTTCTATTTCATATTGAAATTTTCTTATTTCCTCTTTTATTTTCCTTTTTTTTTATTTCTTATCTCTCTCTCTCTCTCTCTCTCTCTTTCATAATAATTTATGCATTAAATCGAATAGGTTTCATTTTTTATATGTTCTCGAATAGAAAAAACAGCATAGATGACAGATCATGTTTTGGGTCGAATTAAAATGTCGAGAGGTGAGCAACACGTGCACCTATATGCACACATATACGTGCATAATCTCGCAGGGAGTAAGGGTGGGGGATGGGAGGGGGTTATACCTATTACATGTATGCACTTTATCATCAGTTTGGAGAAGGTTTCAATGGCATCGTTATACTCGGGATTGGTCAAATGCCGCGTATTATTTGCATTGTAATTCGACAAAGCTCTTCCCACTGGGATTTATATGCCGTGGCGTTGCATAACTAATGGCCATTTGATTATTCTTGATATGCATTGGTAACAGTTTCCACGTGCATATGTACCTATACATTCATATATGTACATGCGAATGAGAAGACTCACACGATTTGGTTTAATCTAAATGTATTTGCGAAAGGAAGTACGATCGAACGACTAACACTTCGATGGATTCGTTATTTTCGATTGTGTCCAATTGGAAAAATACGAATTTGTTTGACGTACCTATACACATATGCCTATACTAAGAAAACTGAACATTCGTAATTGTAACGTGTTTCTATTTTTAATTCGTAATGAAAACTTTACGTATACTATATTTTTCTTCTGTAATTAGTATTTCTTGATATATGTTATGAATATTATGTTGATCGTTTTGTTTATTGTTGTAATATTCTATTTTTGTTTTTTCTTTTTTTTAGAATAATTAATATTTTTATTCGGCTCTATGGGCCGAACTTTTTGTTATAAATAAAACAAAAATAATTGCAACTGAAAATCTCAACAATTATAAACATATATATGCAGATGAAAAAAAAAGTTTTCGGTTTAAAAAATTTGATTACAATAAATTTACTGTGTAACTTTCTGGTAACAACGGCCCATAATGTTTCCACTTCTGCGTAGAAAAATTTAAACGTGAAATTCTACGAAGTATTTTGTCACACAACATTGTCACACATACATTGCATTTTAAACATTTTATTTTCGGAATTCCTTTACACCCGGGATTTGCAGCAGCGTCTTCTGTTGTCCGAAAAAAATTGGCCAATGTACTACTTCATTTTTTCGCACGTTTTTGTTTATCTACATTGATAAAAACAGAACGCTCTCTTTTCTTACGGATTCCTTTGTACTCCTGACATAAACGAAATGCAATGTCAGTTTTAAATGTCAATAATTTATATTGATTCCTGGGGCTTACAAAATGAATTTTGTCAAAGGATTCACGATCGGATTAAACTAAATAAATATCAAATATTTTTCCCGTACAAATTTATCCCTTTGCTATCTTTATAGCTCTTCTGCAATAAAACTGATAAACATGATCAGGAATTGTTCGCTGCAACAAATTCTTCAACTTATTCTGCCATTTGACGGAACACACAAGCTTTATCCTAAATATACAGAAATGTCCTTTATAGGCCATTGTTACTTTGAAGTAACAGAACTGTATCATAAAAAAAAAGTAACAAAATGATATTTGAAATGCAAAAAGATAAGTTTTTATTGATATTCAAACTCAGAACTATTATATATAATACATAATTTTTTATTTGGTAAACACCGACAGAAGCACAAATAATAATATCAATTGGAAAAAAAGTTTTTGCTTGCTTCTACTGCAGACACCTTGCACAACATTTATTTTGTTTTTTCAGGTTGATGGTACTAGCAAATATTGTATTGGTATTAGTCGTCTAGGAGACATTATAAAATTAAGATGTATGTGCCATCTCATTAAAAAAACTAAAATTATTTAGTAGAATGCCGAAAAATGATCATGTTATCTGAAAGTAACACTGGCCCATAGAGGGTTAATTAATAATTGAAAAAAAAATATTTATAATACATATAAATAAAGTTTTGATTGATTAAATTGAAATGAATTATCAAACATGTTTTGACAATAAATATTTAGGTACACATGGCATGAAAATGATAGTCAAAAGTAGTTTGGCAGCGAAAATGTTAACACATTGAACGCTGGCCTCGCGTTTATATCGAGATTCTTTTTTTACAATATGTAAGCACGTTTCAAACGTTGATAAATATATTCTACTTGTTCTTGTTTATTGTTTTCTGTATTTATATAATTTCTAACAAAACGTAGATAATGTTTTATGCAAAATCAAGATGAATAATCACTCTGCAAAAAATTAATTTAAAAGTAAATATCTGTTTCATAGTAAAACAAGCAACATGAGCATCAGCGTTCAATATCTTAAGAAAATTTTCCCGATCTAATTTTGTGTGTAGATATTTTGTTCTAATATTCTGTCTCTTTTGGGGTTGATTAAAAATGATATAAAAAATTAATTTACTCATAAGACGATTGTAAGTTATCATTTAACAAAAAAAGTGACTGAAGAGTAAGAATATTTCCTGTCGTCGAATAAATTTTATAAAATCACGTGACTTCGTTCCATATATTTTAAATAGTATAATCAAATATAAAGGAAATATATTATTATATCACATAATAAAGTTAATTGTGTGATACATCTTTTCTATATACATACATATATTGACGTTAGTATATGGTATTAATTATCTCCAAAGTAACGCCCGACGACGAATGCATATAAGAGCAATGAAAATGTCGAGTCAAGAGGTAACGTCGACTAATTTCACGAGATTAAGCGATGCTTCTTCTTTCGGAAATGTCACGTAATTTTACGACCGTATTTTCTCGACGAGAGATGGTTGTTGAAAAATGAAGAAAGGAACTAAGAGAGGAACAAGGGAAAGGGAATGAGAAAATAGACACAGAGAGAGAGAGAGAGAGAGAGAGAGAGAGAGAGAGAGAGAATAAGAGTGAGTGAGTTTGGTACGATAGGATAAGATAAGAGAATAAGAATAAGAATAAGAATAAGAGAAGGAACGAAGGAATACTAATAAAATGGACAAGCTTGTAGAATACTACCGACTAATTTAAGTCGCAATTAGAGAGTAACTAACACCACCGGATGCATCGCAGGCAGACACCGACAACGAAGTTGGCCATATTCACACACAAGAAAGATATAAGTAAAATGATGTAATAAAAGGATAGAGAAAAATAGAGATAGAAAAAAAGAAACGTAAGGATGGTGGAAGGTAAGATAATAGATAGTATATTACTTGGTAGGTAATACTTGTGAAATATTGTTTCAATTTCTTGGTGGTGCTTTTGCTCACGAGAAATTTTCATTCGCGGTTAACGAAAGGAACGCGTTAGCCTTACTCGAGTTACATTTAAGAGATATATCATATGATAATATTTTAACAACTTAAGAATCATAAAATATCGGTAGTTTCCTGTCGTAGTTTTGAGAGTTAGATTATAAAAAGAAAAAAAAAACGGGGGATTGCAATTTAGACGAAAGAATGATTGATACTTTATGGGTAATATCACGGTTTTATGTTAAATTCATGCAAGATTTATAAATAGACGAGGTATTGTCTTTGAATTTTTATTACAAAAATTCTCACGAACATTTCTTTCGATCTGATACATTGTGAATCATATATTATATTTATCGATAATTTTTTTAACGCAAAAAAATTTTTTTTAAATTCTGATTGCATAAATGGTATATTTTTCGCTATACATAAATCGTAAAATATATGACTTTTTGAAGATGGTTTCGTTTGATCCATTGCGATAGAAAGAAATACGTTCAGTGTTAAAAAAAAGTATTAGTAATTTTATTTGTATTGAAAAAAAAAGAAAAATTGCAATTACGATAAGAAAAAGATGAAAAATGAAAAAAAGAAGATGAAGTAATCTACTCACCGAAAACTTCCGTTGTCCTTACGTCATAGATTTGACCGTTCTGTTCTTGGTTCGATTGAACGATTGCTTCGCATCTTGAAAATAGAAAATAACAAAAATGAACAAATGTGTTAAGAGAAACGTAACGTAACGTAACGTAATGTAACGTAACGTAACGAAACGAAAGGGAGGATTAAAGGATGGAAGATAATATTAAAGAGGAGGTAATACGTCAGTTATGAGTTAGAAACTTTACCTGACGTTTATCTTCTCACTAGAGAGATGGTCAGGTTCAAGTTTCAGTCGGAGACTCGATACCATCGAGATCATACCGTGCTGTTCTAGTTTCCCTTCCAAATCAGCTTTCACCTAGAGAACAAAACGCGTGACGTGAATTTAGGAATATGAATGAATTTTCAACATTTAACGCGACCAACAGTATGCAACGAGAATTACGAGATATTTAAATAAATAATTTAAAGCTTTTATACAGCCAGTAACGCCACGGACACTCATCGTTATGAAAGCGATGTCCGTATATGGAAAATTTTCATTTCCCGACTCAGCCAACTCAACGAATTCTATCGCGGAATGTTGCGAAAATACGAACATCTGCCTATAACGTCGACACGAATTTGTGCACGCGCGCACACTCGTGTGTGTGTGTGTGTGTGTTTTGTATGAATAAAAGAGAGAATATAGAAAGAGAGAAAGGATGTAATGTTGTTAGCAATCAAACGTGAAAATGAACGGGAAATTTAGGATGTACGATAAACGGTGACGCTTTTAAACGAGTAAAAACAGTCAAAACCGAAATATAATAGTTTGACGTGTTGATAAGTAATCACGCGTATACGCGTGATATATAAATAAAATCTAATTAAATTAATAAAGATTTTCGACTTATCGATGCGATTACTTGCGAAAGGGTTAACTTTGAAAAATATGTGTAATATTATATCTAGCAAATGTGGAACATCAGGTAAGGATGTAGAAATGAGGAATACGCTTTGAAGGTATTTAATGAGCTAAAAGATTGTAGGTCTCTTTGAGGATTTAGAGAGGAGTAATTAGAAGTGGATGATTATGATCATGAAGGTCGTCGTTTGAATTCAGTAATGACTAGCAAAGAGAATAGGAACATGAAAATAATGTAAAAATATTTAATTTTCGTTATTGTTAGTATTAATTGAATTAAAGAAAATAACAATAATAAATAAATAATAAAAGAAAAGTAAGAAACCGGTCAGTTTGAAAGATACTTTTTTTTTTTTATATTTCTCTCTCTTCTTTCTCTCTCTCTCTCTCTATCTATCTCTGTCTCGTTTTTTGAATTCCCCCTAATTACAGTTCCCATCGGGGAAAGAAATCCACTTTCTTATTCAGATTATTCTTGATCTTCGGCAGGCCATTACCACTTTCGAAGCTTTTCTGACGATCGACCATGCATTCTAAATTTGAAACGTTCGATTTTTCAAGCATCTTCATAATGCTTATTTTCTTTTCCCTCCGTTTCTGCATTCGCGCCAGTTGAAATTTTATCATCATCCACGGTAAGAGAGGAGTAGCAGCAGCACAAGTAGCAGCAGCAGCAGCAGCAGCAGGAAGGAAAAAGGCCGGATACGCGAGTCTCTTCGAGCGCATAAATTTTCCAGTAACGATTGCTTCCGAAGAAAAACAGCTCGGGTAAAGCGTTTTATAAAGGTTCCCCCATTTTCCTTTCTCTCTTTTTCCAATCTTCATTTTTATCTCTCTCTCTTTCTTTCTCTTTCTTTCTTTTTCTCGTTCTTTCTCTGTAGCATCGTAAAAATTAATTGAGGTGGAACGAGATTAGTACTGTCGAAGAAAAGAAATGGTTCCTCGAGAGATACATGTCAGTAACAAAAAACAAAAAAAAAAAAAAAAAAGAAGAAAGCACTTGGTTTCTTTTAAAAGAAAAATTGTTTTCCCGTTTTTTTTTCTTTTTCTTTTCTTTTTTTATTTCCAATGTTACACGTACATATTAACAACAAAGGGAAATGAATTATTCAGTAAAGTAAACGTGATCGATAAAAATGTTTCCAGTTCGCGTAGGAAAAACTTTTCCGAGCAGAAAAATAAAAGCGCGAGAGTAATAACGAGGAAAAAAACAAAAAGAAATAAAAAGATAAGAAGGATAGAGAGAGAGAGAGAGAGAGAGAGAGAGATGGATAGATAGAGAGAAGTACCCTATTTCCTCGGATCTTTTTTTCTTGTTCTTTTTCTATTCCTTTTACTTTTTCTTTTTTTTCTTTACCGTTCAATAAACGCAAAAGAGATCTATATAATAATCTTTTCGTCGTGTCGTTAAAGATTCACATATTCCTAATGGATTTCCACTTGGTCGTTAGAAGAGAAAGCTAATCGATTCGACTTCATTTTTTATTTATCAAGCCCGTATTTGAAAGACAATGTTTTAACGAGAAACTTCTTAACCTCATTTCTTTCATTCTTACTTTTTGTCTTTCTTTTTTCCCCCTCTTTTTTTTTTCTCTTCTTCTTCTTTTATCGTTGCCGTATCTCTGTTAACTCGATCCAATGTAGAAAAAAAGAAAATTCGTTGATCAAAGTATTTGTATTGTATAAAAGAGTAGTATTATTTAATCGCAAACTTACTCCGATGGAAATCAATTTTGCTTTTTTTTTATGTATCAACATTTAAATAATAAAAAAGAATGAGAAAAATAGTGACCTATGAGAAAGATGGACGATTACGAAGACGTAGATTGTCCTTTTGCAACGAGGTAACAATTAAAAGAAGGGCTCTCGTGCGTCACCGCCATCACGGGCTTTCCTCGAGACTCTCCAAAAGCAAATTAATCTCTCCCTCTCTTTCTTTCTCTCTCTCTCTCTCTCTCTCTCTCTCTTCTCCTCCTATTTTCTTCTCTTTCTCTTTCATTCACATTTCCTCGGATTAATTAGAGGATTTCCCTTTCACCTTCAGGAAATTGCCTCCTTCCATCATCTCAAACGCTACTTTTATTCTTCGAATTTGCGAATATCTTATCATTCTTTCTTTCTTTTTTTTCTTTTTCTTTTTTTCTTTCTTTCTTTCTTTCTTTCTTTCCTTCCTTTTCTCTCTTTCATTCATGTTGCACGAACCAACCGAGGAGGAACGAAACTAAGTGAATTGTTCTAGAAATGATGGTTTTAAACTGTTCTATTTATTGTTCCATTTTCATGTTCCTCTCTTTTTCCATTTTTTAATTTTTTATTTTTTCGATTCTGAAAAATGTATTTCAACTTGTTCCTCGTATTTGTCGCTCCTACGGTTTTTTTTTGTTTTTTTTTTTATTATTCATTTCGTTCCTTTTGTTTAGCCATATTATGAGAGAAACGTTAACAAAAAAAAAGAAAAAACGGATCTATTAATGTCGATTAAATAAATAAACGCGAGGGGCCGATTTATGAATGGCTTTTTTCTTTCGTGTTTTATGTTCGAACAATGAAACTCGGTTATTCGAATATAATACGTGTTTCTTATAGAACACCGAAGTAAAAAAATCCAAATTTATTCCCGTAAAGTGTGGCAATCAAAGATATTATAAGCATAACTGTTTGAATTATCGATTACATTTTTATGCGAAAATTCTGGACGATGTCTTTTCGAATATAATTTTGGAAAAAAGAATAAAATGAATTTTTTTTTCCTTTTTTTATCTTTCTTTTTAATCCTACAGTTTTTTTTTTCGATCTTCGAGTTACTAATTCGTAAATATTTGAAATATAATTTTGTAAACGAACAACTTTTGTTCTCGTTCAACTTTCACTTTCATTTCTCTCTCTCTCTCTCTCTCTCTTTTTTGTTTCTCTTTTTCTTTTTTCTTTAAATCTTTATTTTTTATTTGTTATAATACACGATGCCCAAAGTGGATAGAACATTCTCGTTTCTGTCTTTTTCCTTTTCTCTTCTCTTCTCCTTTTTTTCTTTTTTTTTTGACATTTCTCTCGCATTGTTTCTATTTTATTCGAACGATACGAAACGAAACAAAATATTCGCTTTATAACTACCTTGTCGGAAACGATCCGCGCCTTGTCTCGTTAAATGATTGGTTTATATAGACTTTGGGAAAAGTGGTCGATTGGTTCGTGGTTTTAATCGACGTTCTATGATAAATGATTTTCCAAATGCTACCAGAGGTCAATCGAGAAAATAATTATCTTTTTTTATAAAATATATGTACTCTATTGGATAAATAAAAAACAAAGATATATATATACAAAGAGATAGAGAGAGAGAGAGAGAAAGAAAATTACAAAATACAGGAAACGATAATGAGTTGTGTGGTTAACAAAAACACGAAAGGATACATTAACGGTAATAAATTTTCACATTTAACGGGATATATTAAATTTTAAACAATAGAATCTAGACAATAAAAGTTCACATTCTAAACGAAGTTTACACGAAAAGATAGAGAAAGAGAGAGAGAGAGAGAGAGAGAAAATATGTTCTATTTCTTTCCTTGCCGTTTTCGATGTTTTCCCATGTGAACGAGAGAAAATTTACGTAAACGAACTTCATACGTTTGAAGATTTAAACAACTTTATTAAAAATTGACGAAGGAAGAGAAGAAATCTTCTCCAAGAATTTCATTTTTATCGATCGATATTTGATGGATGCAGTATATCCTATCAGGAATTCGTAAATATTCGCGATGCATGTATAATAAAAAGAAATCTGTTGGCGGAGACAGGCTCCTGTAAATGTTTTGATATTTACCTGTGATTACGATTAAAATCCTGAACGTGAAATTTCTCTTTCTCATTTTCTTCCTTTATTTATTTATTTCTTTCTTTCTTAACAAGATTCGGCCAATTAATAATATTGTTATGCTAATAAAATTATGCATGTGTGTACATTTATCATCGTAACGTTTCTTGTTATTCATATTAATGTATCACGTAAGCATAAATTACTTATAATTCTCGCTAAAAATTGATTGTATTTTTTCTTATTAATTTAAAAAAAAAAAAAAAGAAAAAGAAATAAAATTTCTTTTTTTCTTTTATTATATTCTCTCGTTTCGTTGCTTTTTTTTTTTTTTATTAACCATTCCTTCTTTCCTACTCTTTGTTTAGGATATATTTTTTGTATGATTTATTTCGTTTCCACCCCCTCCCCCCTTTCTACTTCTTTCTCGTTAGTCGTTATAAAGTAGAAATAAAACAGGAAGTGAATTTTTGTGCTCACCTGTTCGTCGTTGATGAACCACTTGAGATGCGCACCAGGATGGGACCTGTCGCTGGTGCAATTCAGGGCAAGAACGTCGCCGCTAGCGTAAATCTTTTCTTCGCCCGTTATCTTGGGACTTTCTTGGGGTAGAGCTGCGACAAAATTGCAAAGAATTTCCATGAATGACGCGGAATGGGAGGGTGGGAGAAAGAAACACGAAAATTTTTGTCCGTTCTACCGAGATAACGAGAGGGAGAGAGAGAGAGAGAGAGAGAGAGAGAAAAAGAATGAGATAGATACAATGACTCACGAAAGTATTTGTGAACACACTTACCATGAAATATTTTATTAATTAATATTTAATGATTTATTTTTCTTAAAAACGCGTAAAGTTTGCTCTAGCCACACTAGTATTTGAACAGATAACTTTTAAATCTTGAATATTTAATAGGACCACCTTTTTATGGCTCGAATAACATCTTGTAAACGATTACGTATACTGTTTATTATTTTTTTTTAACATTTAGTGATATGAAACTTCATACTTCTCGTATCATAACTATCATCATCTAATCATAACTATTGTAAATATTTATAATTCGATTTGCTTGAAACTTGCCTTATATAACTGGAGAGTTATAACTCAATTCAATGTTAATAATAATATGTTGGAATATATTTAATATAATTAATAACATATTTCACGAGATAAGGGTGTTCAAATCACTTACAAGTGATTCATCAAGTGTTCACTTTCGTGAGTTACTGTAGATAGATAGATAGAGAGAAAAAGAATTGAACGAAATAAAAAAAGAAAAAGAAAAAGGAAACAAAACATAGAAATAAATAAAAAAAATGATAACGATGAAGATCGATGGACAAAAATTAACGAAAGATTCGATCGGTACTATAACGCGACCTGAATCATTTTCAGGATCAATTATTGTTTCGATTAATATCTAAATAACGTAGAACGAATTAACGCCGTGGAATTACGCCAATTACTAATAATACATATTGGGAATAAGAGAAACCATAATCCGTTGGTGTTTATAGAATAGGCGGATAATATTTAGCGAGTAATCTATGAAAGCTATCATCCATTTTTCGAGCAATGAAAAAGGATTAGTAGGATTATTTGGGATTTCAAATGTTACGAGTATATTTTCTATTATATATACGTACATACATACATACATACATGTAGGATTGGGTTCGTTTGAA